TTTGGACTCCTGAAATAACTGTTCATGTTTGAGCCACTCCCATTTGCCCTTCTACGTCCTACCGTGAAAACCTAAACCTTGAAATCTTGAAGACTAGAACCATTGATCATTATCGAGAGTTTTCTCAAGTGACTCCCGTCATTTGGGATGTAATTAACTATAGGGGCTTGCCTCTATAGGGAACTTGGAACCCAGATAAAATAAACCCTATTTAATCTTTGTATTAAATAGGGGAATTTGTCGGTCATATATAAAAAAAGTTCGCAGACCAAACGGATGTCACAAATCTCATAGTTTGCAGGATTGGGTCTATCGCTGAGGTTTACACTTATCTCTCGGGAAGGTGTAGTATTTGCGGTATCAGACACGATTTTGCAAACTATCAGACTAATGAGATCCATTTGGTCTCATTTTTCAAAAATTAAAACATACTGCTTTCAAAACCCAAACTATATATCTTTTATATTTAAATTAAATCTCAAAAATTATTTTCATATATCATATTTTTTCAAATAAATCTAATCGAGAAAAAGTTGACCGACAGCAACCTGAAAAATCCAATTCATTTATGTGTTCCTCAAAATGAATATATAACGTGCTATACTCTATTATTAATATTTCCTATCATATCTGAATCAACACATACCTATAGATTAATTCTTGAAATTTCAAAATAAAGTGCCTTATCGATCGTTCCTCTCAAGTATCTAAAAATTCACTCACCGCCTTCCAACGATGTTTGTTTGGATTACTCATGTACCACCACTTCCACTGCATGTGCTATATCCGGTATTGTACATATCCTCACATACATCAAACTTCCAACAACTGAAAAATAAGAGGTTTTTTTCATTAATGTTTGTTCTGCTTTAGACTTAGGCGATTATTCTTGAGATAGCTTAAAGTGGCTATCAAAGAAGGTGCAAACTGGTTTTGTCTCACTCATGTTGAACCTATATAAGACATTCTTAACATATTCTGCCTGAGATAATTTCAAAATACCCGCATTCTTACTCCTGCTGCTTCTCACCGAGAATCTTATTGGTTGGACCTAAATCCTTTATTTCAAACTTCCTTGATAATTGCTTATTCAAGCCCCTAATTTTCTTCATATCTGCTCCTGCAATTAGCACTTCATCTACCCATTTTTTGACATAAACTTGTCAAATTCCCTCACCACTATCTTGGGGCCTACTTCAAACCATAAGAACTCTTCTTCAATTTACAGACCTTGTCTCCTTTGCCTGAACTTTCATATCCCGGCGGTTGCACCATTTACAATTCCTCTTCTAAGTCATCATATAGAAAGACTATTTTCACATCCGTCTATTCCAGATAAAGATTTTCCTATGCAACCGAGTTCAACACAACTCTGATGGTCATCACCTTCACTACATGAGAAAATATCTTAGTGCAGTCCACTCCTTTTTGTTGAAACCCCTTCACAATAAGTTTTGTTTTGTAGCATGTGCTACCATCCCACTATTCTTTCAGTTTGTAAACCTACTTGCTATGTAGTACCTTTTTGTTATTTGATTTGACCACAATAACTGTATCTCATCATCCATGACAAACTCACACTCATTTAAATATTCAACTTGAGTGACCTGTTCATAGCACTCAAGTTCACCACAATTAGTCAGTAATAAAAAGTATAAAGGAGAATATATCTGTATTGATCGCGTGATTTTGCAAGTCCTCTTGACTTTAGAAACATGTGTCTGGGGAACTTTTGTGCTTCATCAGATTGAGCACATTTTTTTCTCCATCTTCTTGATCACAATTTCATTTTATCTCAACATATTTGTACAATTCTTCATAAATAATTGATGGACAATCATGAGTTTATTTTTGCCCTTATACATCTACATTTCATTGAAAGTAACATCATTGCTCCTAATAAATTTTTTATTCTAATAAACCTAGAACTTGTACTCAAATTCATTTCTGTATACTCAATGAAAATGCACCTAACAAATTTTAAATCAAATTACTCCTGGATCTTGCATCAACATGAACATATGATGAACCGTAAAATACTCTCAGGTGAGAAAGATTTACCCTTGCCACCCTGGGCTTCTTCAGGTAAGACTTCATTTAAAGATATTGACGGAACATAACTGATTGAACAGATTGCAATATTGACAGCTTCTGCTCAGAACTATTCTGACAAGCCTGCATGCAACCTCATACTCTTGGTATGCTCTGTGATGACTCTATTCATACGCTCAGACATACTATTTTATCGTGGTGTCCATAAAACAATGAACTCATGTTTGATTCCCTTGAAGCACAATAATTTTTTAACCTCTGATCATGATACTTGCCACGATTATATGATCCGAGACACTTCAATCTCAAGCTTCACTCATTCTCAATCTTGGCCTTTCACTTCCTAAACACCTCAAACACATCAAATTTATGTTTTAATAAGTACACTCATATCTTTCTAGTGTGATCATCAATAAAAGTGAAAGTATAAAAAAATTCCAATAGACTACTGGAGTAGGACCCCATATAATTGTATGCACTAACTCCAAATTTTTTGGATTTCAGCTTTGACCTTTTAGGGAAATTAATCTTCTTTTGCTTACCATAAATGCAATTTTCACAAAAATCTAACTATATAGATTTTACAACATGAAGTTTGTTTTTAGAAAGGAAGGACTTCATACATTTTTTACTCATATGGCCAAATCTGCGATGTCAGAGAAATACATCGTTTTTTTATTTAGCTACACCAATGGATTCAGATATCTCATTGATCAAGGTAATGGGTGTCTTTATTTTTAATTTGAGCCATCAACATTACCCCTCTGGCCACCTTCCTCAAATCAACTGTGAAAGTGCTCAAATACCCTGATTTCCAACAACACTACAAGCCTTATTATCTCCCAAATACACCTTTCTTAAATCACTTTGAGTGTTATTTTTTAATATATCTTTGTCGAGACGCATGAAAAGAGGTACATGAACCCACTATCAATGATTTAGTATTATCTAGTGACAAAACAACGAAGTCACATTGGTTTTCATATGTGAAGACATTAGTAGAGAGCTTTCTATGTTAACCTTCACCACAAAATTTTGGAGCTTTGCAGTCTTTCTTGAAGTGACATTTCTTCCCGTAATTTAAACATTCACCTCAGTCTTTTTCTCTCCCCGACTTAGAGTTTCCTCTCCCAGACTTGAATCTTTCTCCGCCTGTGTTTCTATCAAGATTCTTTCCTCTGTTTTCAACATTCAAAGCAGACTTTGAAGTTTTATTAATGGTCACGCCTTGTCCTACCTACACTTTGTGGGGTTTATAAAAACATGAATCTTGGTGCCATTACCTGGATTTTTGTGAGTGATAAGTTATATTTTTAGAGGGACATATGAAGAGCGAGCCTTAAAATTTTTATTTGCATTTTAAATTTAGCATTGGTAGCAAACAATGTTAAACCTAATTTATTTACACAAAAAAATATAGCCTTTTCTTAAGTTCTTAAGTTTTTTTTTTTTTTAATTAGGGAAAAACGTCAAAAGACTCCCCCAACTCTTTACGTCATTTTAGTATCAGAGTATAAAAATGCTAATTTAATCCTCAATTTTTTTTAACATGTTCAACACCAATTTAAAGAGTCAAAGGAATAATTTGACACTTTTATAAACTCTAAGAATAAAATGGCCCCATGCAAACATTTACCGGACTATTTTGGCACTTCACTCTTCAAAATTATTTCCAGCTTGTAGTTCTTTCTACTAGGCATGCTGGTATATTATTTAGTAGCCTTTTTTGTGTTTTAATGTGAATTGCAAACGTGCCTAAAAAATCACAAGGTTAAACACGATTATTTTTCTTTTCATAAAATAAATTTAGAAACCCCCAAGGAAATACACAGGCAAATCTGCCAGTACTAAAGAATAGCTTTAACCTTGCTATGGAAATAATGAAAAATTAGTACCATATTACCATAAATTAGCCGTTATAAATGCAGAATACTCTGAATTAAAGCCGGACATCCAAGTAGAGGCAAAGAAGAAAAAGAAGAAAAACTTACGTGACCACTAATTGAAGGGTCTATAACAGCTCCAAATATCAAATTGGCACTTGGATCAACAAGATCATAAATTACTTCTGCTGCAGCATTTACCTAAGAAAAGTATTCCAGTCACGGCCAAAGTTGACATGTATAACATAAACATTAGCTATTGAGTTCAAATAATAGTTGGAAAATTATCAATCTGTACGAACAATACATGTTTCCAACTGATACATAATGCTAAACATTTTAAGAAAATAGTTCCTATTTCGTTGATGACAACCAGTTTAGAGACTAAACAAAAGGAAGTAACAGGAGCACATTTTAAAACGCGTGAATTTCAGTCCAAGGCTATCCAATGTATCCAGTTGATCTATTGACTTTTCAATATTGAGCTAAAATAATCCATTGATTCCTCCAATTTAATCCAGAATAATCCGACATAAGACTATTTTGGATAGTATATGTGAACACAATCAACTAAATCAAACACATACATTGTCTCAGAAAAAAAATCCAATAACCATTTTGACCTTTTTCATTATTGATAAATCAAGAAAACTAAGAAGATGAGCATTCCAAAACTTCATATTCAGTTCAACAATAAAACAAACAATAATAAGAGCTTCAAGAACTGGGAACAACAGCAGCAAAATCTGAACTGAACTTCATATTAAACTTTACCATATGGAAGCCAGTAAAAAAAACCTAGAGCTTATTAATCTTTTAATTTATAAATAATGGGCGGTGCATTAAAATTTTACAACAAATTTCCCTTGACAAAAAGGTAATTTAATCAACAGAACTATTGCAAGTGCTAGGTTGTAAGTATGATAACCACCAAGGCTAACTACCACTGATGCTAGAAAAGTAATGGTTTAACTTCGCAATTGGCCATGAATGTAGAAAATTTTACTTTATCAGCCCGAATACGCGGCTAGAAAATTTTAATTTATCAATATTTTTTCTCATCGATCTTCTCATCTATTTTCTTAATTTTCTTATTAACTAATATTTTTCTCTTATGTTTATTCAAACCTTGAATTATTACCTATATCCATAACGACTTCAAAATTAATTTCTGCTTACTAATTCTTCAATTCAAGAAATTTTATGAAGTTTGCTTATGCACATTTCAGTATGGTATGGAGTTTAGGGTGGCAAACAAAGAATTCAAATACTTCAAACCAAAGAAGAAAGGCAGAAATAGCTTGCAGAACTTTCCTTACCTCAAACAATGTTAAATCACAACCTCCGGTTATATTCCATACGATACCCGTAGCCCTTTCGATGCCTATGTCTAACAATGGTGAATGAATGGCATTTAATGCAGCATCTCTTGCTCTGGTTTTTCCTGCAACATAGCATTATTCGCTAGATGAAGAAAGTTGGCAGCAGATCAGATGAAATTGCTATCAAATTTAACCTTTCAAATTTTATAATGGATAGACAGTTTGTAACATAATCTAGCCTTCTGAACCATGAAAGAAAAGCTTCCATAGCTCTTCTGAAGGATATAAATAGAACCAGTAACAAAAAATTTGACTCAATCGGATCGGTTTCAGCTAATCCATTACAAAAATATCATTCAAGACAATTACAGGTTGGCAATACAAAAATTCATGTGAATTACATTAGCTACTGTTAAATAGAATGTATCAAACTGGATTCATGCGATATATAATATTTATGAAACTATTAGATTTAGCAAACAAAATAAGAATTTTTCATAAAAATAGCCATTTGCATTACCTGTTGCAGTTCCAATGCCCATTAAAGATGAACCAGCATTTGCCATTATTGCACGTACATCAGCAAAATCAACATTAACCAGACCAGGAACCTAAAATTAAGGCCAAAAAGTGATAAAATAAGATTATATAAGCTCAATTTGCTTAAAAGAAGATTTACTATAGTGCATTTTGCAAAAAACAAAACAGGAATAAAATAATCCAAAGATATAGGGGAAGATTACATATCATATATCTGATAAAATACATAATAGAAATGAGATACGGATGACAATAGATAGAGAATTGAAAGATGAAATTGTTTAGATGAAAAGAGTTAATGATAGCGATTCTATTAAGTTAATTATATGTAAGATATTCTAAGTAAGATTAGTGCTTATAATCCTTCAATTGAATATATGAACTTTGAAGAGAGAAACTAAAGATAAAATTATTTAGATGATTATTGACCATAAAAATAAATAAATAAATAAAATCCAACCTACTCCCGCCCCCAGCAAAACTCTCATGACTGTTCGCGCTAGTCTACTTGCTTTCTCTTTATCTATGCATGGCAACTGAAACCCATCGAATGAAAGCAAGCTTTGCTAATTCGTCTCCACCCGGAAGCCCACTCGAGCCCCTCAGCCCTCGTGATCATATTCTTCAAGAGACAGTCGCGCCTAGGGACAAAAAGCAACGACGAATAATGGCATTTGAAAGCAAAGTACTATTTAGGCGGAGAAAAACGTGAACTTGACCGGAGAGTTATTTTAAAATTGAGGGGGGTGG